AGGATGGGGATGGGATCCACGGCAGGACAGGGAATGGGATTGGATGGGGGTGGCATCAATGGCAGGCCTTGGGTGGTACCCAGGGTGGGGTGGGCCAGGAATCACAGTGGGATGAGGATAATGCCCAGGGTGGGATGAGGATGGTGCCTAGGGTGGGATGAGGATGATGCCCAGGATGGGATGAGGATGATGCCCAGGATGGGATGAGGATGGTGCCCAGGGTGGGATGAGGATGATGCCCAGGGTGGGATGAGGATAATGCCCAGGATGGGATGAGGATAATGCCCAGGATGGGATGAAGACGGTGCCCAGGATGGGATGAGGATGATGCCAACAGCAAGGATGGGGATGATACCCATGGTGGGATGAGGACGATGCCCATGGTGACATTCCAGCAGTGCCCATGGTGGGATGTAGAAACATGCCTATGGTGGGACCTGGATGATGCCCAAGGTGGGATCAGGAGGATGCCCACGGTAGGATCCAGAGGATGCCCACGGTGGGATCCAGGGGATGCCCAAGGTGGGCTGAGGACGCTGCCCAGGCCAGGCCGGTGCCCCAGGGCCGGGGGCTCCCCGCCAGCTGCAGGGAGGTGGCTCCGTGCTCCACATACCAGGAGCCTGCCCGGGAGGCTGTTTATCCATTGACGGATTTTTTCCTGCTCACGGAGCCTGGCTCCAGGTCCCGTCCCCCGCCAGCGCCCGGAGCTCCCGGCCCGTGTGAGCCCGGCCCTGGCCCTGCCCGGCGCCAGCTGCGCTGCCAGCACCTCCTGGGGACGTGCCCGAGGGGACAATGCCCAGGGACCCCGGATTGGGAGGGGGAAACCAGGGCTGGGGGTCTCCCTGAGGAAGAGGAGGGTGCTGGGCCCCACGGGGAGGATGCTCAGCGCCCGTGGGGTTAGGGATGCTGCGGCACCGGGGGCAGCCCCGAGAGGCTCCAACAGCAAAATATTTCTCCTCCTCCTCAGGCAACCCGGCTGCCCTTGGAGAAGGGAAGGGCAGAGCCACCTCCGACGGAAAAGCTGAGGCAGCGGGCGCGGAGCTCACAAAGCTGCCCTTGATGCTGCCCCTCGGCGCTGCTCGGCTGCCTCCTCCCTCTCCTCCTCCTTCTCCTCCTCCCCCTCCTCCTCCTCTTCCTCCTCACATCCAGCACGAGCACCCTGTGGTCCCAGTGACAGGAGTATCACCAGGACATGGGGACCCCCCAAGACCCCCATCCCCCCCTCCCTGACACCCCAGGAGGGGCTGAGCATCCTCATCCCATGGACTGTGTGACCTCTGCCCTGGCTGAGCCCGATTCCCAGGGGGAATAGTGGATGGGGGAAGGTCAAGAGATGCAAAAAAACCCACCCAGGGAGAGGCTGGAGCCCTGGCACGGCTGGAGCGTTGCTGCCCACCAGGCTGTGCCACCGTCCCCGCTGCCCCTTGTCCCCACACCCCGGTCTGGAGTGGGAGGGAGACACAGTCTGGGGTGGGACAACACAGAGGGGGACAGGATGAGGGGGGGAGAACAGCTGGCAGCAAAGCCCTCAGCCCTGGGATGGTGTCCCCAGCCCTGCCATGGTGTCCCCAGCCCCTCTGGCTACCTCACCTTGGTGACAGCCACGGCACAGGCGTGTCCCCAGATCTCGATGAGCTGCTGCCTCCCAAACCGATAATCCTCCAGCAGCTCCTTCTCGATGGCCTCGGCCTCTGCCTTGCTGTGGGGGGGGGAGAGGGCACCAGTGAGACGGCACTGCCCCCTCACCCACGGGAGGGATTTGGAACCTCCCTCCATCCCAGGGCACTGGGTGAGCGGGTGGGGGGCTCGTGGGGCTTGGGGTGGGCATGGCCTGTGGCTCAGGGACAGGGCTAGGCTCGGCTGGCACATTTGGGGGCCCAACCCCGCGGGTGGGGGGGCTGGATCCGTGCGAGGCACGGCCCTGGCAGCGCCCCCGGGCTCGTGGGGCTCGGGCTGTTACATAAAAGCGAACAATGCTGCGGTTGTTCCGTCGCTGCCGAGCCGGGAGCTGGCAGGGCCGGGAGCCGCCGATGGGACAATAATTGCTCACATCTGTTGGCTTCACCTGCGCGGGTGGAACGGGCTGGGCCGGCTCCAGCGCGGGCTGCGGGAGGGGGGCCTGGGATCAGACCCCTGGGAGAGGCTCAGGGATGGAACCCACGGCCCCAGGGGGAGCTGGGGGGCTCCAGCCCCGGCCCTGCCCCCATTTTGGGGGGCACAGTCACACCTCACCCAGTGCCAGCCACGGAGAGGGGACCTGCCATGGGCAGGGATCGTCTGGTGCTCCTGGAGGGCGTCATGGGCTGGGGTGCCTGGATGGGATCCCTGGTGAGATCCCTGGCTGCTCTGGGTGTCCTGGCAGAGCCCAGAGACCATTTGGATCTGGCATCCCCTTGTCATTCAGGCAGTGAGCCCCCTTCCTAGTCCCCCATTCCTGCATCCCATCCCCTGCCTGCTCCTGAAAAACCTCCCAGGAAAACTTCATCCCATTCTATCCTTTCCCATCTCCATCCCACCTCATCACATCCCTTCCTATCCCATCCCATCCCATCCCATCCCTTCCCCTCCCCTCCCATCCCATCCTATCCCATCCTATCCCATCCCATCCCATCTCATCCCATCCCATCCCATCCCATCCCATCCCATCCCATCCCATCCCATCCCATCCCATCCCATCCCACCCCAGTCCCCAATCCTTTGGTGCCCTCTAGTGAGTCCCAGCCCGTCCCCAGCCCCACACTGGGGTCCTGGGGAGAGAACGGGGGGTCGTGGTGGTCGGACAGAGCCGCGTTGTCCCCGTGTCCCTCCCGCACCGAGCAGGGCCGGGGGGGCCGGGAGGGGGGCCGGACACAGCTGTGTGTGTGTTGTCCCTCGCCCAACAAAAGGCACGTATCTGACAAAATTCCCCACGTCTGTTCCCGGGAGAACATTATCCATAATCGCTGCTGGCAGGGAAAATCCTGGGCGCCGGCCCGGGCTGGCTCCCGCTGCCCTGGCAGCGTCCCCAGGGAGGGGACACACGTCACGGGGCTCCCCGGCATCGCCGCCCACCGCGAGGGCTGCGGGGTCACCTCCAGGTCCCCTCCGCTCCCCCCGCCTGGAATTCTGCTCCCGACCCCCCCAGCAGAGCCCAGTCCAACCCAGTCCAACCCAGTTCCTGCTGCCTCCACCGCTGGGTGCCCGGGGCTGCTGCGGGGTTGGGGGCAGGAGCGAGAGGAGCCGAGGGATGAGGGGACGAGAGGATTCCTCAGTGTCCCTTCCCGTATCCCAGCCCCAGGACACCCCGGGCGCTGCATCCCGGAGCCCTGTCCCGTGTGTGCATTCCAGCTCCACCTCCCGGTTCCACATCCCAGTTCTCATCCCAGTTCTGCATCCCAGCATCACATCCCCATCTCGGCATCCCAGTTCCGCATCCCGCTCCTGCATCCTGCCAGCTCCGTCTCCTCCCCCTCTGCATCCCAACTCCACATCCCAGCCCCGTATCCCGGTTCCATCTCCCGTTCCCGCCGCTCGTTCCCCCTCCCCGGTCCATCTCGGCTACGGGACCCTCCGAGTCCCCTGGGTTGCAGGGGGGGGTCCCGGGCGCACCCCCCCGGCCGCTCCCGGGATCCCCGGCGGGTCCCCTCGCTCCGCTCTCGCTGCCGGAGCATCCCCGCCGCAGCCATGGAGACCCGGGATGCGGTTTCCCTGGCAACGGAGGCTCCGTGGGTACCGACCCCCCCCCGCCCCCGCGGCTCCTTGGGGGGGATCGTCCCGGGGGACACGCGTGGGGACCGGGAGGGTCCGGGAGCATCACGGAGGGCAGGAACCCACCCGGGGGGCGTCCCGGGGCAGCGAGGGGGTCCCGCCCCACCAGCGGGACCTCGTGAGCCCCCAGTACCCCCCGGGGTCCCCACCGCGTTCTGCGGGGCTCCGGAACTGGCCACGACCCCGCGGGCAGCAGGGACCGGTCCGGGGCGAGCCGGGGGTCGGGGGATGGCAGGGGCGTCCCGGGGGCGAATCCGGTAACCGGGTGAGGGTACCGGCACCGGCGCGGCGGGACCCGGGACCACCTGGAGCTCCCGCTTCTCTCCCGCGCGGGCCGGGGGGCTCTCTGGGAGGACCCCCGGGCTCACCTGAGGTACCGGGGGGGCTCCCGGGAGGGGCAGGACGCGGAGCTCATGGCGGGCGGTGGTACCGGGAGCGGCGGCGGCGGGACGGGGACCCCCGGGGGCTGGAGCGGACCCTCGGCTGGAGCGGGACCCTCGGGAGCAACGCGGAACCCCGGTTGGAGAGGATCCCTCGGGAGCAGCGCGGACCCCCGGCTGGAGAGGATCCCTCGGCTGGAGAGGATCCCTCGGGAGCAGCGCGGGCCCCCGGCTGGAGAGGATCCCTCGGGAGCAGCGCGGACCCTCCTGCTGGCCCGGCCCCCTCGGCTGGACTGGCCCGGTCCCCGCGGGGACCCCCGGCTGGAGCGGCCCCGGCGCTCGGCGGTGCCGCCCGGGGGGAGGCGGCTCCCGCTGCCCCCGCCCGCCGGGGCCGGTCCGACTCCCACCCCCCGCCCTCTCGGGCATCGCACCGGCCCCTCCCGGGAACGGGAACAGCGGCCGAGATTCCCGCAGGATGCGTGTGGGGGGGATGTGGAGGGGGGTGGCGGCTGGGACCCCGCTGGGACCCCGGGAAGCCCCTTCCTCCCCACCCCCGAGCGAGGGGAACGCGTCAAAACGGTGTCAAATTCGGTGGGTTTCACCCGCCGCTGCTCCGGTGGGATCCACATCCACGGGATCCACATCCATGGGATCCACATCCATGGGATGTGTGAGTACAGGAAGAGTTCAGAACCCTCCCTGACCCACCTCAGTGACACCGAGGCAGGGAGGGGGGACAAGGACAAGGCCACCGGCTGCCCCCTCCATCCCACATTCCCACCCCAATTCCCGGGCAGGGAAGAGCAGGAAACACCGCGGGAGACGCCGAATTCCCGGTGGGGGACGGGGGGGGATGAGCAGGAACACACCGGACACGGGATCCACGTGGTTTAATAACGGGGCTTAAGAACAGGCGGCACCCGGAGCCTGGGAAGTGCCGGGATGGGCAAAAACGACCCGGGAAGTGCCGGAACAAGGGAAGGAGGAGCCCGGGAGGGGCCGGGATGGGGAAAACAGCTCGGGGCGGGGCCGGCTCTCAGACGTAGTACTGCAGCCCGAACTTGGCGTTGTCCATCTCGGCCGAGGGCCGCAGGTAGTAGAGCTCGTCCAGCGTGGGGGGCACCCAGCGCTCCGTGTGGAACACCGACTCGCCCACCTGGAAGGCAGGGAATGCTGGGAGAGGCGGGATTGGGCCCCATCCCCAGCTCCAAGGGGGAAGGAGCTGGGGGGAAATCCTTGGAGCCAGGGCGATCCCAGCTCTCCAGGTGCCCAAATCCACTGGAATGGCTGCTTCCCAGCCCGTGGGATCACGGAGGGGCAGCCCCCCACCCCTACCCCCCATTCCAGCACCCCCTTCCCCTCCCGGGGGTCACAAACCTTCCAGCCGGGAACGTCCCTCATGATTTTGGCCTCCTCGTCCAAATTCTGCCGCAGCATCCGGAGGGTTCTGCGGGACAGGGGGAGGCTGAGCGGGACACTGTGTGGGGGGGACAGAGCACCCGAGGGGGTCCCGAGGCCCGGGGAGGGTCCCCAGCCCCCGTACCTGCGGTCAGACTCCGCCTGCAGCAGCGGCATCAGCGCGATCCGAGCCTCCAGCTCCTCGATCAGCAGCCGCCTGCGCCGGGAGGGGGGTCAGGGGGTCCCTGGAATACTGGGGGGGTACTGGGATAGCTGGGTGGGGGCACTGGGGTACAGGAGAGGGGGCCGTGAAGGGTTTGGGGTCCCGGGGGTACAGGAGGGTCGGGAAGAACCGGGGGGGATGGTCCCTGAGCTGCTGGGGAGCACTGAGGGGGTGTTTGGGGGGTACAGGGAAGGGGGTCCGGGGAGCGCTGGGTGGGGGGCATCGGGACATCCCGGGAATGCGGGAACAGCGCATCCCGAGCAGGACCCGCAGCAGGACCCGCGACCCCGGGAGGGGGGTTGTGTGTGTGTGTGTGGGGGTAACGGGGACCCCCGGGGCTGAACGGGGAGACCCCCGGGCGTCACCTGCGCTCGCGGTTCCACTTGATGAGGGTGTAATAGCCCATCAGGAGGCTCCCGACGCCGATGGCGAACAGGCTGTACCCTGGGGGGGCACGGTCAGGGCGGCACCGTGGGGGTCCTAGGGCCGGGATGGGCCCCCCCCGAGCGCCGCCCCCCGAGCCCCGGGGGGATGCCCGGCGCCCACCTGAGAGGCCCCTGCGCGGGAGGTGCCGCTTGTAGTCGATGGGGCCGTACCCGCCCGGCGGGGCCATGTCCTGCTTCACCTTCGGCGCCGCCATCGCGGCGCTCGCCAGTGACGTCACCGCCCCGCGCCGCTCCGCGGGGGAGCCACGTGGATCCGCCACGTGTGTGGGGGGGGCGCGGCTTAAAAGGGCAACGCGCGGGTTTAAAAGGGCAACGGCGGAGAGCGGGGCCTGCACGGGTGGGGTGGGGTGGGGGGAGAGGGGGGTCCCGGCAGGATCCCAGGCGGGATCCAGCGCTTCTCTGGGATCGCTTTCCCACGGAAGGGGCTCCAGGACTTCCCTGGGATCATCTTCACACCCAGCGGGATCCATCATTTCTCTGGGAGGCACCTTCTCACCCCATGGGCTCCATCACTTCTTTTTGGGACCGCTTTCCCGCCTGATGGGATTCCTTGGGAGCATCTTCCCACCCGACAGGATCCATCGCTTCCTTGGGATCACCTTCGCACCCGACAGGATCCATCGGTCCCTTGGGAACATCTTCCCACCAATGGGATCCATCATTTCCCTGGCATCATCTCCGTAGGGCTGGGATTGGCACTCGGAGCACCTCTGGCAGGACAGGGCTGGGAGGCTCCACGAGGACTGGGAAGGGTTCCAGCTCCACCCAGTATGACCAGTCAGTGTCCCAGGATGTCCCAGCCCAGCAAACAGCCCGGGCTCGATCCAGCATGGGCGGGAATCCCAAGTTCTTGAGGTTCCTTGGCAATCCAGCCACGAGCTGCCCACGGAATCTGGGCTGAAAAAGGATCAGAGGTTTTCCCCCCCTTTCACCCTGGGCTTGACCTGGAGCAGGATCCACGTCCAGTCTTCCCCCTCTGCTCCCAGACCGGCAACTCCGGAGCACGGGATGTGATTCCTCCCCTTCCTGCTGCTGACCAGGAGAGGACGGACAGCAGGACAACATCCACGGCTTTGGGTGTTCCAAATGCTCTGACAGCTCAGGATTCCATCCGGGAACCAGGGACGAAAACATTCCGGCAGCATTCCCGTTTGCCAGGAAATCCCGCTGTCCTCATCCCAAAGGGAGTGATCCAACGGCTCCCTGAGCTGTCCCGGGGTATTCACAAGAATTCCAAAGGGTATCTGAGCGGTGGAGCAGCAATTCCAGGTGGGAAGAAGGATGGAGAGGTGGTTGGGCCTCGTTCCTGCAGGTGCTCTGTCCACGTCCCAGGAGGGCGTTCCCTCCATCTGGGGCTTTGCATTTCAATCCATGAAATTCCACAGAAATTCCAGACTTTTGTCTTCTCCTCTCCCTGTTCTCCCATCAGCCTGTTTGGTTTTTTTGGGGAAGGAACCTCAGCAGAGGAAGCAGCAGATCCAAACTCTCGTCTCACTGCTCCGGGAGATGCATCCCAACCCCGAAATCCTTGGAATAAGAGGCAGATCCAAGTGTTTCTCCATCTGTTTATTGTCCTTCCAATACTGAAACCCCCCTCACAATACAGTTATGGATTAATTATTGATTCCAGATCCTTCTGCTGTTGAGACTATCAGGGTTTAGTGGGAAATTATTATTATTATTATTATTATTATTAAATTCTGTGGTTATTATGGGAGATTTGGAGTCACAATAAATCCAAGGGAAAACCCCCACCCTGTGCTCCCTGCTTCCAAAAGGAGAGAGAAAAAGGAGCCAAATTGGGGTTTTTTTGCTGAGATCTCCCTGACTTTGCTCCACTCCCTCCTGCAGCCCCAAATCCCCGTTTTCCATCCCAGACTGTACTTTGGGAATTTAATTTTTCCTTAATAAGCCAGAAATAAAAAGCTCTAACTGGGTCTGAGAATCCAGAGGGAAATGAATGGATCCCAAAATGAGGCTAAAAAATACCTGCAGAAACAAAAAACCAACCCCAAATGAACTTGGATTTATGATTATCCAAGAGTTTTCCTCGCCATCACCTGCTGGAATGGCAGGTACAGGAATCCCTGGAACACAGAAATGAGTGAAGTCCCATTTTCCACGAGCTGGAAAGGCCGAGGATGGAAAGGAAAAGGTTCAACCCTTTGTGCCGAAATCGGAGAATAAATTAATATATATATATATATATATAAAAAGAATGAAATCCAAGAAAAACCACACGGCTCCCAAAATTCCAACACGGGTTTCCAATGAAAATCCGGGGCTTTATTTCACAAGTTGCTAAAATCTAAAGTACAACAGTCGTTTCCCATTATTCAGTCACTGGCTTTAGAAAATTCCCGTCGTCGCGACGTCGCCGAGAGAGGCTTTGTTTTTGTTTTTGTTTTTTTTTTTATGGCTTTGCGGGAATTCCTCGATCCCTCTCCCCAGGAGAGGTGGGAGCTGGAGCCCCCCCGGAACAGCTCATGCAGCGAAGCAGTGGAGGGGCGGGAAAACGGGATACGAGGCCGGATATTCCCCCTGGGGGGTGTTCCAGGCGCTCCAACAGGAGGTGATTCCCGGCACATCCAGGAGCCCTCAGGGATTCAGGAACCCCAAAGCCCTCAGGGAATTCAGGAACCCCAAAGCCCTCAGGGAATTCAGGAACCCCAAAGCCCTCAGGGAATTCAGGAATCCCAAAGCCCTCAGGGAATTCAGGAATCCCAAAGCCCTCAGGGATTCAGGAATCCCAAAGCCCTCAGGGAATTCAGGAACCCCAAAGCCCTCAGGGAATTCAGGAATCCCAAAGCCCTCAGGGATTCAGGAATCCAAGAGCCCTCAGGGAATCCAGGGATCCCAAAGGCAACAACAGCAGTAGGAATAAACCCAAGGTTTGTTCCTAAGTTTGTGTCTAAACCACCCCCCTTCCTCCACAATTCCCAGGGATTTCCCCTCCAGGGTGGACCCCTGATGGGAATATCCCATTTCACTGGGATTTTTTTTTGGCGTTTTTCCCCCATGTTTTGTGGGGTTTCTTCCGGCAGAAAAGGAGAACAGGAGGATGAGGAGGAGGTTTGGAAAAAAAAAAACTGTATTGAAGTGTTTGAACAACAATTCCAACCTGGCCGAGCCCAGGCCCACGACACCTGACTCCACACGGAGCTCTGGACACCAGGAAGGGGATTCACACATGGATGGATCCACTCCAGCCCTTCCCAGACTGATCCAGGAGCTGGGCACAAACTGGGATGCCATGGAATGAACCCCCCCTGTCACCAGGACCACCCGGAATCCCGACGGCCTCGTTCCACACTGGACTCCGGGGCTTCTCAGCCTCGTCCCACAGAGGATTTTTCCCCCTTCCCTTCAAAATCAAACCTCCCCCAACCCCTCCAAGAGCATTTTGGGGGTTTTATATTAATTTATACACAAAGAGATTCGGGATCTAACGCTCTCGAGCCCGGACATACAAACCTGGTTTTGCTTTTCGGTTCCAAACCTTAAAAACTGAAATATTCCTGATTCTTTTAAGGCTTCTTTTAATCCTCCAGATTGGGCTGAAATTCCCATTTCCGAGCACCCGAGCTGGTGGGATCCAAACCGGTTTTGACGCCGCTTTTGCAACATTTAATTTGATATTTTTATATTTTCATCCTTCTGCCCCTCTTTCACTCCCTGTTTGTTTTGGGTTTTTTTTACCCCAGAAGTTGTTCCCCATCACTGGAAATTAATTGGGAAGTTGCCCAGGTTTCCCCCTTCCAAAAAAGGCTTTGGGATTTTGAGGAGTTTTCCTTGTTTTTTTTTTTTTAACCAAACAAACTTTTCCAGGGGATTTAACAGTGATCAAAACATGAGGAGAAAACGCAGGAATTCTGTCAGAGGAGAAGGGGGGAAAAAGAAAATCCCCAAAAACCAACCAAAAAAACTCCACGCAGGGAAGGAACTGAGACTTTCCCGGAATATCAAGTGGAAAAGGCAAATGCACTCCAGTTCTCCCTCCACATTCCCAACCCAAACCAGCCTGGAACAACCAGAAACCTTCCGATTTCACCCCAATTCCCCCTCCATCACCTTTTAGTTCTTCAGATCCCCTCTGGAAAATTGGAATTCCGGGGTTTTATCCAGTGACAAATCCCAGTTTGGAAAACGAGGGGGGGTTTTCAAGGCTGCTCAAAGAGGTTGGGGGAAAAAAAATCCCTAAATCTTGATCTTCACCCGGCAGGGAAAAAGGGGCGGGGGGGAAAAAGGCTGGAATTCTGTCACTACGCCACGGGCAGATCCGAGGGGGACGACCCTAAGGAATTCTTGGCTTCAAGTTTTCGATCTCCCGGCGACTGCTACGAAAATAAACTCGGCTCCGACGGAACCCCCTCCCCCTATTTTTTTTTTTTTTTTTTAATATATAGATATATAGATTATATATATATAGAATTTCCCAAATAATTCTTATCAGCACTTCCTTCCAGCACTGATATGCAACAACAAGTCGTAAGGCATGGAATTCTGCCACTTCAATTCAACTGGAAAACCCGGGAGAAGCACAGAGGAGGAGGGTGAGGAACGAAAACCAACCGAAACCGGACCCGATGGGTTTTTGGGATCGACCAAAAAAACGGCCCTAAAGCTCCCCCCAAAGCGGGATGGGGATGGGTAGAGGAGCATGCTTGGGATGCCTGGAAGAACTCGGAAGGGGGATCGCAGAGCACCCCCCCAAAACGCGCTGGGAACGGCTGGAATTCCCGGTGGGAATCACCAGAGGGAGGATCTGCCGGCGCCTCCCACTCTCCCTGATTGCATGCAGCTCCTGGAATTCCTATTCCTTTGAGTAATATTCCTCCAAACAACAACAAGAGAAACAAAACAACCAAAAAAAAAAAAAAAAATTAAACCAAAACCCCTCCAAAAGGAAAATTATCCCAAACAGTTTCACTTCGGAGTCTCCGGGGATGTAGGAAAGGCCCAACTGCTCTTCGCTGAATTAGAAAGACCCAACAAAGGTTTTGTCTAGTCAGTAAATTAGGTTTTTAAACTACCAACGGTTCCAAAGTCTATTCCAAACAGAATCCAACAAAAGTGAGAGACTCCTGCGTGGTTCCCACCTACCAGACAAGTTTTGGTGGCAGCCAATCCCTCGGGAAAAGGACCGTACTCAACTGGAATCTCGGAGTCTGCGCTTATTTATCGTTAGCTCGTCGTCACCAGGGGGAGATTTTGGGAATATCAGGATGTGTAGACTCCCTTCCT